TTTTCATTGAACTTCATCTACTAAACTTAGGTTGGCATACTAAAAATACCAGAAGGTTTTTGACTATCAAGAGATTAAGATAGAGGTAAAAAATTGTGAAATACTAGCAAATTAGATTTTTAACTGTATCACTCACTCTCAAGGAAAATACATTGTTAGAAACATTCATTAAAAGTTTGTATCTTACAGTTTCTTGAAATTCAGCCAATCTCTCAAGGAAATAATACAAATACCGAAACAAAAATTAAACTAAAAACTTCGAGACAAAGTTGAAACATTTACCTGAAATTCCGGTACAGTAGGTGATTTTGTGACAGCTTTCCTCTTCTTAGTGATTGCTTTTTTAGATATAGATTTTTTTCCTTTCAAGATTAAAAGAGAAAATCTTCATAATGCTGTTTACAGCACTTCATTAACAAAAACCAAATTACATTGAGCCTTGAAAGTTAAACTGTTACTAACAGATGGCTGCTAGTAAGTCAAATGACAATGAGTCAAAACAAGGCCCAGTGAAAGCAAACATTAAACTGTGACTACCTGTGACAGACATATATTAACAAATGCTGTCTTATTTATAGAAGAACCAAACTATTACAATTTCCAATGTGATGTCTAAATATGAGAATTTATTAAAATAAGAGTAGGCATGAAGGCTACACAACTTCTGCTCAGCTAAAACTTATATTCACAACTTACAATGGACCGACTACACAGGAAAAAAAGCCTTAACTTCAACAATGACTTCTATACTCAGGAACCTGTGTAAGAATTGTATCTAAAGATTATGGAGTCTAGCCAACCAAAAGTGAAAATCCCCTTAGTAGCGTGTTGGGACACCAGGCTTTTCCATCTCTTTAGCTCGTGGGCTGCTCTTAGCAGTGTTTGATAGCTAGTTTTAGAAAGATTAATAAATATCTCCCTTTAAGGTGCAACCAATAATCTGTACACTCAAAAATCATTAAGAAAAATAAATTTCATATCTTTAAAGAATGTAACTTGTAGTATAATTTGAAGTTTATCTACTTCTTTGTATTTAACTTGACAAAAACCATACATACATGTACAAAACTTCTCTTTTAGGTTAGGAACATTCGAAAATGTTTTTGTTGTTGTTCCTTTTTTTTTTTCAAATTTTTGAGACATGGTTTCACACTGTAGCCCAGGTTGGCCTCAAGCTTAGGGCAATCCTCTTGTCTTAGCCTCCAATTGTTGGGATTATAGGTGTGAGCTACCATAGATGCCTCCCTCCCCTGTAATTCTAAAAAATCAAATTGACTTACTTACTCAAAAAAATGCTAGCTAGAGGACACCGTAAATTTATGGAAATAACAAGGAGTTGTAAAACAGAGACCTTGTCCTTCAGGAGGGTCATGTTTCTCTGGTATATTTTTGTGTGTGTGATGGAGATTAAGCCCAGGGCCTGGAGCAAGCATATCAGGCAAATGCTCTACCATGGAACTATACCTCCAGTCTTTTCTGTTAATTCTGATTCACAATTACTTGTAAGCTAAAATCAATTTAACATTTATCTTTGCTCTTCAAAAGAGAAAATAAATTAAAAAATACTTGTAGTAAAATTGCTTTACATTAATTCTTGGGCCCCTCTCTTAACATTTTTTTAAAAAATAGATTAGACCTCAAATGAAAGATGCTGAGTTGGTTGCAATGTTTTATTCAACCCAATTGAACTAATTTCAAGGTATAATATAATTGTTATTTTATGTAGTCCCTTTTAATCAAATCACAGAACTATAATGTGGATAACTTCTAAGTTTTGAGTCAAAATGTACATATTCTGTGACTGAACTATTTGGAATTTTAAGCTGCTGAGGTTCATAGATTTCACTATTTAAGTAAGTATAAATCTGCCATCATTTGATGCCTGTTTTAAAGTACATGAAAATACAATTACCTAACATATTCTTCCTTTTTCATAACTGTTACTTGCTTCTGTGCTTACACTGTTACCTGTAGCAATAGTAAACCTAGGAAACTAGCTATGTGGGTAGTTGTTTAAATGAGCAATGACAGAAATGACAGGCAGAAATGACTAAATTCATTAGTGTCTATAAGACATAGCAAGCACAATGAATCTTATAAATCTGAATGCCAGGATGCCTTTTCTCTATTATTTTTTAAAAGTTCACAGGAGAAGACTTAAGATTGTTAAGTAAAAGTAAATTTGCCTTAACATTTTGTGGGCTCTATTAATTTATCATTTAATTTTTTGAGACAGGATCTAACTAAGTAACCATGGCTGGCGTGGAGCTACGTAGACCAGGCTAGCCTCTAACTCACACCTGTCTCAGCCTCCCAAGTGCTGGATGGGATTAAAGATATATACCAGGCTATGGGAAAACTTTATAAACATAATTTGAAAGAAAGGAAATTCTCCCTCAATCCTTTCCCTTTTACTATTTTAGCAAGCTTACTTATCAAGGCAAGGTCTCATGTATTCCAGACTAGCCTTAATTTTGCTATCTAGCTGAGGATGACCTTGAACTTCTAATCCTCCTACCTCCAGATGCTAAGATTGTAAGCATGTACCACCATTCTTTTTTAGATTTTGTTTCATATTTTATTTTAATTATATGTGTATGTCCTTGTGTCTGTGTGGGGATATGTGCATGTGTGTGCAGGTACCTGTGGGGACCTGAGGTGTCTGATCCCTCTGGAGCTGGAGTTACAGGTAGCAGTGAGCCACCCAATAAGGGTCCTGGGATCCAAACTTGGGTCCTCTGGAAGAGCAGTACAGGCCCTTAACAACACTGAGCTATCTCTCCAGCACCTTGCACCACCAATCTTTAAAAAAAATTAGTGTGTATGCACACATACACATATGTGGGCGCATTAGTAGACATTAAAAGACAATTAATGGGAGTTGATTCTTTCTTTCCAGTATGTGGGTGCCAGGGATCAAACTGAGGTGGTCAGGCTTAGTGGTGGGTGCCTTTATCTGCTATCTGCTAAGCCATCTTGCTGGACCCACCACCACTTTTGGGGGCAGGGACGTTTCTGTTATACAGATCCAGCTGTTCTCAAACTCGACAATAATCCTACTGCTTCAGTCTCCGTAGTGTTGGGATTTCAGGTGTATACTACACACCTTGTTTGTGTAGTGCTGGGGATCAAACTCATGGTACATGTATGCTAGGCAAGCACTTCACAACTGAGTTTTATCCCTAACCCCTCTAATTATCTTAAACAAATAATTGGATTCTTTAAACACAAGTCTCTCTCAGCAGTCAAATGCATTTCATATTGTCACTTAGGCTTTTAAACACAGGCAGTAAATTCTCAGTAAACTCCAGTAGCCATTTTATTTGAATGGATTTAGGAAGTTTACATGGTTACTGGTTTAATTTACCAGTCATTAGGATGTGTAAATGCTATTAAGTTCCTGGATATAGTGTTCAATGTTAGCTTTAAGATTGAGTTTTGGAACTAAGCTATGTGGACTTGAAGATTTGTTATAATCACCCATTAGCTACATGACCTTGAGCAATTATTTTTTCCTTTGTGCAGTGTCTTCAGCCATAGTACAGGGTATAGAAGAGTACCTATGTTGTAAGAATAAATGAGTTATAGCACCTAAAGAATTTAGAGTAAAGTTATGGTAAGTTATCAATTACTCAGTTATTTCTATTTCAGCTAAGTTAGAGGAGAAAAATCTAAACAGAAAATATGTATTTAAAATTTTTTTATACTACTTATTGTGTGTATGGGGGGCACACATGGAGGTCAGAGGACAACTTGTGGAAACTAGTTCTCTCTTTCTACAATGTGGGTTCTGGGGAAAGAACTCAGATTATCAGGCTTTGTGTTAAGCACCTTTACCTAATGAACCATCTTGCCAGCCCCCAATCTTACTTTTTAACCTTATTTCTTGCTCTTTTATCATGGTTCTTGGTCATATGTCCTATTTGTTCTATAATTCTTTTATAGTCAATGACTATAACACCCATCAGAACATCGTAACTACTTAAATGTTTGCTTTCCTTACTATGTTGTGAGTTACTGACAGCAGAAATTACATTACTCTTGGCACACAATAGATAACCTCCCCAAGTGATTCTTAAATACAAGAATCCTGTTTTTCATTAGAAATTTTGATGGTCTTGGGTTAAAAAAAAAAAAGGTAAGCTTAAAAAAAGTTATGCGCATCCATTGAGTCCATTTTGTAGTGACAACAACACTGAAATAAAGTAATTTATATTTTTTTCAGTACTAGGACTTGAACCCATCATGCATGCTAGGAAAATACTCTGCTACTGAGTTACATATCGCCAACTCCTTTTTATTTTGAGATAAGAGTCTTGGTAAATTATACATGTTGGCGTTGAACTTGTGATCTCTGACTTCTGCCTCTGGAGCAGCTGGGATTACAGGTATGCATGGTCATAGCTGGTTTTATACTATGGTAAATGGTTCGCAAATGACTTCAAAGTAGATGTAGGAAGATTAATGTTTACAGTGATCATAAGAGGACTGATATTTATTGGAAGCCTACTATGCCCAGATACTTACTGATTTCATATAAATTATATCATGTAATTCTCAAAACAACTAAAGGTAGGTAATACCCTGTATTTTCTTGTAGATAACGACAGATTAAAAATATTAACTTACGCAAGTGTCAGTAAGCATCAGTCAGAGTCTAGCTACAAAGTTCAAGTTCTTTCCATTATGTAATTCTATTTCACAAAAATTATAGCTACCATTTATTGATTCTTACCATAAGCCAGGTGGCAGCCATGCTAGGTTTCACAAGTTTGATATTCTAATTAGTTTTGATAGCAATATAGCAAGGTAGGCACTGTAGGACCTCACTTACACTAACAGGCTATAAAAGATAAGGGAAATTAATGGAGGATTTACAGCTACTATGCACAGGAGCAGATATTTGAAACTAGATTTTTCTCCACTTTAAAGCTGTGCTGTTTGATAGTATAATGTTGCATAATTTCAAATTTTTACAGAGATGAAATCTGCTTTTCATTGACTTGAGATTATTCTTTTTGCTCAGGGTTAGAAGATTTGCATATTCACTGTTGCTTAATACCTCAAGTGTCTAACTTCAAAAGACAATGTGAATATTTGTTTCCCCACTGTTGGTTAAAATTTGTGCTTACTTTTTAATTAAACATTATTTTAAAATTAAGCATGAGTCACTACAAAACCACACAGCCATTATCTGGCTTATTTAGAGGTTCTACCAGGGAATACAGATGCCTGTTATCCCTACAACTGAAGAAGAGTCCTTCTGTATCAGGAAAAAGTTGTCCTGAGCAGATACCTTTGTGAGGGATACATATGCAAAGCTCACTAGATAAGTAAAATCAACTCTGGCCAGCTAATGGGGTGAAAAATGTCACAGCCAGATTTCAGGACAAGACATACAGGTAAAGTCATATACTGCCCCCCAGTGGGTTATTTTCATAGTTTGAGTATACGTAAGGCCCTTTACTCCCTTTTACTCCCATGGCCCCCAATCACCTGGCCTTATAAACTAGAACATAATTCAGACCTAGGGATTGTATGGGAACCAGAATCAGTTTAAAATACAAGCAGAATTTCAAGAATGATGTTGTAGCCTCACATCATTGAGCTTAAACCACTGACATGTGCAAAAAGTGTCATTTTGTAGTTGGAAAATGCACAAAAAGCCTTAATAAAACCAACAAGAAAACTTTGTAATTAATGTTATAAGAGTTTCTAATGAAGCTTTATAAAACACCATGCACAGAACAGCTTAAGAAACTCATACTCAGGCAGGTGTGGTGGCCCAGGCCTTTAATCCCAGCACAGACACAGGCAGCTGGGGTTAAGTTCCATGCCAGCTGCGGTTACAGGGAGACCCTGTCTCAAAAAACAAAAACAGAAATTTTTAAAAAAGAAACTAATTTCAATTTCCTGAGAGGGAAATGCTAACTAAAAAATATATTCTCTAACTGAGGCACAAAGCCCTAGTTATTTATAATCTGGAACCAGAAATGAAGGTGATTATCATTTATTTTAATTCTTTCTTCTGTTCATCTTTACTTCAATCTTTCATCTGGTTTCCCTTGCCTGTTTTCCCTCCTTACCCCATTGGGCTACTCCAAGACTTCAATTTCTTTGTGGATCTAGTCTATGTTTAAAAATTCTCCTAACACACTCATTACTCCCTCAGTTTTTTTCATTTTTAGAATATTAATAAGTGACTAGGTAAAAAGCGTTAGTCATTGCTAAAATTAAAATCCAAAGACATTTGTATTAATCAGTGGGTCTGGGAAGTGCTTGGGTTGTCAATCACAGAAATGGAGTCTCAATTTGTGTCTGTTTACTAAATATGCATGTCTTAAGCTGACAGTTACAGTCTACTGAAGTTCCTAGATTGTTGTAAGAAAGCAATCTGATCTTATTAAGAGGTTTATTTCATATTGTTCTCCTTGCTTATGAGAAACTTTCTTTAACTTCGAATTTAATGAAGTTCCAAATTCTGCTACTTCATGCACAACATCTCTTAAAACACAACTTTTTTTGGTCAATGTAACAGAAAAGTCACACAGCTTTCCTTATCTACACATAAGTTTCTCTTAATAGTCATTTTCCAGCTCTTCATTTAAACCCTGCAAGCTTCTTCTCACAGCTCTTTATGGATACCCTAACTATCTTGTAAAGCTTTTTTCTTCTAATCCTGCCACTTACTAGCTGGGTGACAACACTGGGTAAATAAATAAATCTCTTTGTATCTTATTTTTCTTATTCTACAAAACCTATATAGTGGTGAATACTAGTAGTATTTACTTTTTGGAGTTTTTATGTTCAAATGAAATAAATACAAAGGCTTATGTGAATATTAGTTTTTCTGGGGAAAAAATAGAAGAGACTGAAAAATCTAAAAACAAAAGAACACGGGGTTGAAAACGTAGCTCAGTGGTAGAGAATATGCCTAGCATGTGTAAGGCCGTGGGTTCCATGTCCAGCACTGCACAAATAGAAAAATAAACTGAAAAGTACAGTGAATTCTTCTGCTCTCATATAATCTTGCAATCTCCAGTTAGTGCTCTAAAAATCATTTCCATGAAGACACATAATAGATTAGATTCTAAGTGCTATCAATATAAAATTCTACATGGAACTAATCAAATACTAATTATATTATTTTTCAGTCATTTTCTATAAAGTAGCTCACTGCTCTTTATTTATCTGACACATCTTATTTAAGGTCATTCATTTGCAGTGGGCTCTTCAATTATTTAAACAGTACTGTATGCCTACAAAGAGATCTCTCCAAAATGGCATACTCTCATCAAACAGCTCCTAACACCTCAACTTCTCCTTGAAAGAGTTTTACAGTACAATTTTTTTTTCAGCAACAACTTGCTTAATTACAGTATGTGCTTTTGCTCATGATAGCAACCATATTTTAGTTATTTAATCCCCATTATTCTTCATTCTTTGTGAAATTTTCCCAGAGTACTACCACATACTTTTTTCCCCTTTAATGTGTGTGTGTGCTTGTGGAGGTGTGAGGACAATTTGTGGGAGTTGGTTCTCTTCTTCCTCCATGGATGATGGTTCTGGGGATTAAACGTAGGTTGTCAGGCTTGGTGGCAAGTGCTTTTACCCAACTGAGCTATCTTGTCAGCTTTTATTTTCTTAACTTAGAAGAATATAAGACAACTTGATTTATTTATTTTAATCAGTTTAGAGATACCATAAAACAATCTGGTTGAAAAGAACAACAACTTGACAGGGGGAAATTCCTTTGGGTTTAAATTGAACAATTTAAGACATAAGGTTTTTACCACTAAATGTATCTTTAATCATTTTAAAAATTAATTTTAACTAGCTCTTTGCTTCACACAATCTGTAACAGTGCTGATACAATCAAAATGTCCACTAAGGAGATTGGTTAAAGAATAACAGAATCCTATGCAGCCATTTATTTTTCTTAATATTTTATTTTTTATTTTATGTGTATGAGTGTACTGCCTGCATGTATGTAAGTGCACTCGTGTCGTGCAACGCCCACGGAGGTCAGAATAGAGTGTTGGATCCCCCAGAACTGGAGTTATGGATTGTTATTAGCCACTGTGTAGGTGCTGAGCCATCTGAGGTGCTTAACCATTGAGCCATCTCTCCAGGCCCTACACAGTCATTTAAAATGATGTAGCAAAGACCTACTCGCTACATAAAGTTGTTTGTGTATGTATTATTATGTGGGAATAATGTTCAAAGAGATTATGTATTTGCTAATGATGTGTCTTCATTTACTTGTTTAGGACTAATGTGAAACTGCCATAAATTCTATCTCTAAATATCCTAAACTTAAATGAAACACTTATGTGCTTACAATATAAATTCATTTTAATCAATTTCTCAGTATTGTTTTTATTCTACTATTGGTATAATTTGGATAAGAGGTATATTAGTATACCATAAGTTGCAATTATCTTTGAACACATGAATAGCATTATCAATAAATAATAAAAGGTTTTAGGTAATAACAGTACTAAACAAAGTAATACTACATACATCAGAATTTTTAATTTTAAAAATTTATTTGTGTATGAGTATTTTGACTGCATGTTTGCCATGCATACAATGCCTGCAGAGAACAGAAGAGGAGTTGGAGTCCCTGAAACTGGAGTTATTGATGGTTGTCAGGTGCCATGTGGGTGCTGGGAACCGAACCTGGGTCCTCTGCAAAAACAGCCAGTGCTCTTAACTGCTGAGCCATCTCTATAGCTCCTACATTGGAATTTTCAAATAATTCAAAATTTAAAATATTACTTAATGTAGAGATTAATATTTCAGAGTGAATTTTGTCAAATTCATCAAATTAAGTTTATAAAAACCTAATGGATTGCTTATATGATGTTAAAGGCTCATTTCTGAAAATTATTTTTAAAATTTTGATCTAAGTGGAAATTTGAAATTTTTAGCCTCGATATGACTTCTTTCAGTGATTCATTTCATATATGTTTTATGACACAGTGAGTTCTAGTTAATGATTTAAATAACTAAAAGCTCACTCTCTCATTTGACAACTCAGTAGTAAATTTCTGACAATTTAATGAACTATGCTACTGTGGGAAGGAATAAAAAACTGAAACCCATAAATGATGGTGAAGTGAAGCATTTTGGTAAGCAATTCTAATTTTTTCCTCAATCAAGCAATTTTTTATAAAGGCTAATAAAACTGACCATATGTTTTTGTCTCACCTACCCTTGTGGGAGTGCACGCCTTTAATCCCAGCACTTGGGAAGCAGAGGCAGGCAGATCTTT